TATATTTTTATATAACTTATTTTCTTTTCAAGCCACCTTTTCGGCCTATGCATTGGCGCATGTACGTAGAGGCGTGGGGGACAAACACCATTGCCAAAAGACGCTGCTGCGCCGCTACCTCTCGCGCACCTAGGCGCCCAGGATCCTAGTTAAAAATCACTTTATACTACCCTCCTTTGCCAATTATGCACACCCTCACCAACCAACCCCTCCCTCACCTTAAACTATGCTTCACCTCCTACTCTCCCCCCCCCCACCTTCATTAGTCCCCATGTACATATTTATAAAGGCCTACGCCACTGCTTATGTTTCATGACGCAAAATGTTCCGCATATAACAGAAGAGATATTGTGGTCAACATCATCCGCATTGTTTTGCCTTCCAGAGAGTTCAAGCATATACAATAGATTAAAGAATATTGCCCATCAAAGCCAATACAACCCACCCACGTCGTAATCATTACACTATTTCTATAACTTATTGTTTTGAACTCATGTCCATTGTTGTGAACCCTGATGTAATTAAAACAGTGCAATCTGGCTCTTCACCCCGCGGGAGACAGTCTTTCTCAATTGATTGTTTTCGTCTCTGAGACTTGCGTGCCTTGTTCTTAAACCCAAGCACGTGAAATTTCATTACAGCAGCAATAACGTGGACTTACATAGACATGAATAATAGTTGATATCAACTGCGACTCTGGTCATTTCCCCGAGGAAGCAATCAGCAATTAGACGGAGACATTAGGCATGGGTTAATGATGTGTAGGTAGTTTGTCCACACTGGGCTACGAACCGAAGCCATCTTCTAACGAAGTCCATTGAATTTATTTTTAAAAAATTGAGTCATATGTCGGAATATTTGGCATCAACGGCCAACAAAACCTTAACTAAATTTAATGTTATTTAGTATAAAATAGAACTAAAATAATAATTTACTGAATTCATTATATTATCAGATTATATATTGCAATACAATTTTTGTTTCTGAACTAGAGTTACGAAATCGACGGGTGGGATTAATTTTTCAATAAAAATGAGCAACAGATTATTGTTATTGACAAACTTAAAATCCCGTTGAAAAACAGGTGGTTTGTTAATTAGAAATAATTTTTTTCTATCAATTTTTGTTCTAGTTAACTTAAGTTGACGTTAATTCAATTATTGCTTGATTAAAAGTAGGCCTATATCTCGGTGTTTTTCATTGAAAGCAAGTACAAATAATATTAATTTTGATCAGAGCCAGAGACTTAACGGAGAAATAAATCTGCAAACGAATTTCAGAAACTATCTATAAAAAAAAAAAAATACTAAAAACAGCAAGAAAATTATTTGCAAAAAAATTACATGCTACCGTATACTATAATGTAAATAAATGTGATAATATTATATATATTTAGGAAAAACTCCGAATGCCTTGCAAATATATAAAAAATTAAAATCCAATTCGGCTTTGTTCAAACGAAGAGTAATCTTTTCATATTTTCTTAATAAAGAAACTGGTAATCTTCTTGAA